ACTTAAAAAAATAACATATATATAGACACATATAGTCTATATATCTAAGATGAAAGTTGCGCTTCAAATGTTTTAATTAACCTAAACAAACTATATATTATGAAGATCCGTCCTTTTATTTTTGAAAGATACACAAATATGAGGCCAAAAGCTTGTTCATTCGATTTAAAGATCTCAAATTCTTAAGCCAAGTCCGGCACGCATTTCGAGTCCAGCCAAAAGCCCAAACATTGTCTTAAATAAGCGCATAGGTTAAAGCTTATCTAATGGCTAATGGAACCTCTTGATAGAGTGCGCTTGCAATTCATTTTCCAATGCCCGACGCCCGAAAACTCTCTCATTTCGTTTGTAATTTGTATAGCTGATGTGTTGTGGAAGGGGGCTGCAGGGGCGGGGCAGGGGGGAGAAGGAGGGGGATGGGTCTTCTGCTTCGTTCGCGCATTTCACCTCCGACCATACTTTCGCCAATTTCCACTGATGCGCTCTTTGTAATTTCTGGCCAACCATTTTCCATTGCAATGCTTGGCCATTTTTATATACATTCAGTTGATTTTCTTTATTTTTCGTTTCGTTCGTTTTGTTGCACGTCGCGCTGCGTCGCGCGGTTTTGTGTATCTCAATACGAAAATATTTGTATCTGTTAATGTATCTCCACATGCATCTGTCGCTCAATGTGCGTCTGTGTGTCTGTGTGTCTGTGTGTGTGCGTGTGTGTATGGTTGTGTGGAGGGTGTTCGGGCGCGTAGGCTTTTTTGACTTTCGCAGCTTTTCGCTTACCGCCGCCAACAATCACACAGTCAACCTCAGTTGCGGCGGCGACCGAACAACAACAACAACAACAACAAGATCAACAACAACAACAACAAGAACAAGAACAAGAACAACGACAGCAGCAACAGCGACAACCAATGCTAAATAGTCAAATAGTTTTCCACGCGGCGCATTTTACAACAAAAGAAAGAAAAACAAGAACAAGCACAGCTAACTGCGCCACACCGAAGATTAAATACACTTAAAGATATTTTCTTTCTTATACAAAAATTAATTACCCAGCGTTTCTTCGTATAAAACTATATGATATAGTAGTTCGATGCTTACAGGACTTAACTTATTTATAAGAAGCATGCTAGAACTCGTATATGCTAAGCTTAGGTTAAAATATCTTGAAAACAGTTTTCCTAAGAAACCTAATTCCGATATAATCAGGATTTTACTCCTATGTGGGGAGCAAAGTTCAACCTGTCAATGCAGATAGTTAAGATATCTGGGAAAACAAAAAAGTTTGGCAGATATATGTATGTTATAGGATTCATATGTCAATCATATTTTGCTCATGTGTAATTCTCTTAGAGAATCCTTTAAAGGCCAAGTTTAGTCAAGATATCTTAAAATACTTAGTGTATTTCGAACAATCATTTGTAGTGGTCCGATCCTGCCGATCTTGATATATGTACTGAAGAAGGACGAACCTTTGCAAAGCATCATGATAATGTCTGCATAGAACCAGACAGACAGTCGCACATACACCTACATCGACTCGGCTATTAATGCTGATCAAGAATATATATACTTAATGAAGTCGGATATGCTTCCTTTGATGCTTTGTAAACCGCGTGACAAAATTGTAATACCCTCTGCAAGGGCATAAAAACACAACAGCAAAATTTTAACGCACAACCAAATTGCCGCGAAATACAAAAAACAAAATTGGAGAACAAGCGGAGGCTATGTATCGAAAACCGAATCGGAACCTCAAACTCTGCCCGATCCAGAGCCGAAAACCCTGTTAGTTGGACAGCTGGAAAAAATCACGCAGAAAAGTTAAAAACGCATTGTGAATATGCAAATTTCCCATTGATTAAATGCGAAATATGCGCGGTAGACACATTTTCAAATTTCGTTTCGAAATGGACTCCCGTTCAGATCAGAGATCAGAGGCCCCCGTTCGAGTCCTGGAGAGGATTTGCTGGCGCGGACGGAGCGGGCAATTCATGGGATGTGAAATAGCCCAGTTATATATAAATTAATTTTCATGTACATATACATTCTCTTTGTTCAGCTAGATATTTAAAAGATATTCATTATTTACGTGAACAATAATTTTATATATAATATTGTTGAGGCCGAAGCTTGATTGAGTTTTGGCTTATGCAAATATCTGAATGCGAAATTTGTACCCTGGAATTTCGTATATTTTAGCTATAGAACTAAACTATAAATATATATAAGTATGGGCATCTCAAGGCCTCTCAAGCCCAGGAACAACTCATCTTTGAGTTGGAGTCCTGATATTCTACTTTAAGCACATATATGACAGCCATATTAATACCCTGGAATATATTTAATATTAAGCTTGTTCAGCTCTGACCTATACCAAGTCGGGCATTCGAAGAGACGGACCCAGCATACCCGTTTTACCCTTGGGAACAGAGTAAAAGTAAATGAAACAGAGTTAAATGTGGAAAACTGTCGCATAACCAATTTTACGCAAGGTTATGTGCCTGTCAACGGGCAATAACTATGGCTAATTGAACTATGTGCCCAGCTGAAATATCTCTTGGTTCTTTAAAGATCCTTTTTTGACACTCTCGGTGCGGTTAATGGCCGCGTCTGGACCGAGTGCACAGCTGCGTTGTCCTTGAACAACGCCGCAGTGCCAAAATTGAGGTTGTTATGCTAATTAATGCTACAAATGCATTAAATGGCCACATGCCGAACTGACACCGGGCGAAGAACAGGACCAGCAGGACCACCAGCACTCGGGTCCTCAGCCATTGCTGCACGGGAACCAGGACCAGGACCAGGTCCAGGTCCAGGCCTCATAATCTCTAATTATGCGTTTTAATTGCCATTATCGATTCGTATTGTACGCGCTGCGGTTGCCAAGTGTCCTTCGCCGGACCTAAAAAGGTTGTCAGCATGCGTGAGAAGAAGAAGAGTAGCAACACTTGTACATGTCTTAAGAAATGTGGACACAATTAGCAGGCGGATGAAGGCGACTGTGCAATACCCTGCACACAATGTAGTCAGCGGTTAGATGAGAGCGTATTCTTAATGTTTCGATTAGTGCATTTAAAACTAGAACCCGGCTTGTGACTGTCAAACTGTGAGCTTGGACCATGTCAGCGTCAAGGCTACAAAGCAAATTAGGAACCAATGCCAAAAACATAAAGCTCGAACTCCATTTATTTGCTTTAAATTGAAAACTTTGGAGACTCAACTCACGAACCGGGACTCAAGCACGTGCAGGAAGCTGGTTCGAAGCGTAAACCAAAACAACAATTTTTTTTCTCGGTTTGCAAGCCTGCTGCTCAAGTTTGAGTACTTCAGCTGTAAGCCTAAGTCTTATAGAATTTGTTTGTCTTGAATACATACGAATAGCGACGGCAAAAGCTGCGTATAATTAATATGCTCTCTTGCACACTCTAAACAGAGTATACAAGGAAGTGCAGAGGAACTAGTTAAAGTTTCTTATATCTGTTCGATCTAAAATGTAAAATTAAATATAAGTATTAGGCGCTAAACCTATAACTATAATTTATAGAGCACAAGCTATTTATATAAATAAATAAATTCAATATAATATAGATTCGAATTCCTTGTTGTTCTGCTGTCCGGGAACTGACTGTGATTGAGAAAGATAGATTTATGTCTATCATCGAATCTCTAAAGTTAACTCAAATATTGTTGGGTCTTACTTCATTAATGTTAAATACTATCTAATCGCGGTCTGTTGGGGGCAGCTACCGATTACGCAATAATTGTCTAATTTTATTGGGGTGCCTTAGACCAGACCACAAAAGCAATCGGGTGCTTGAGAGTCAAATGGAACTTAATATGGCGACTGACTATCTAGGGTTTTCGGCATAGTATAAGAGATACGTATGCCGATAGCTGGCACTAGAAACTTGGGGAATTCGCAAAAATAATTTGTTTGGTTTGCCCCGATATCGGAACATCAGTCTGGTAATTCTCGATAGTTATATTTGAAAAGACAACACAAGTTAAGTTCGTTATTGGTTTTGTTCATTTGTTTTCTTTTTATTTGGTTTCTGAAATTCGTTTGTGTTCATTTTTTCACGCTAAAACTTAAAGCTATACAAAAAAAATTGTTTTGCTCTTTCCTTACATGGCTAAAAACTTAAACATTATCAATAGCTAAATTCGCATGTTAAAAAAAAAAAAAAAAAAAATCTCGATATATATATATATATATATATATGTGTGTGTGTGTGATATTTAAAGCACGCTATTTACAAGAAAATGAAAATTTGTTGATTTAGTAAACTACGAGATTTTGTGGGAACTTCTTTTGCGTTTACCCTACGAAGACAAAGTTTTGATTGGAGAGAAATAAAAATTAAAAAAAAAAAAAATTGTTATATATATATATATATATGTGTGTGTGTTTGTGAAAAAAAGGGAAAATCATAAAATTGAACTAAAGTTTTTTTGGTTTTGTGTTTTCGTTGGGGGTGGGTGTTTGGGGGGGCGTTTAGGTCTTAATAGTTTCCTTGACGTTCGCCGCGTGGCGATCGAGCGAAATTCCAGGAGGGCTTTTTGGCATATACTTCTCTTCCAGGGGAGGTTGGTGCAATTTGTGCTCTTAAGTGTGTGTGTGTGTGTGTACGTAACGAACTCGACGCACGATTTTATGAATCGAGCATAAAACTTCGAGTGAGCTCGCCGCACGGCCCTTGCCTTGCCCCAAAACCAAGCATGCGTATATCCTCTAGCCCAGCTCCTGCCAGTCCTCCTCCGCCTCCTGTCCCGCCGCCTCCTCCAACTTCTACTCCTGCTCCGCTCCGTTTGCCGGCCGGAGTCGTGTGTGTTCTTCTAAATGTTTGTGCTGTGCTCTGCTGTGGACGTGTCTAACTTATATGACTATATCACAATGTTGCTGCCGCTCTGCGCCTGCTTTCTGCCTGCTGCTCCATATCACTCTGTGTGTGTGTGTGCTGTGTGTGTGCTGTGTGTGTGCGTGTGTGTGCGTGTGCTGCTCAGTAGGGCCGCCACACAGTCTTCTGCTGGACGACGGCGTTCTTCAGCTTTGTTGCCGCCGGCAGCGTTGTCTCCGGCGAGGCCTGGCGAGGCGCAGCCACTGCCGCGGCTGCTGCCGCTGCCGCCGCCGCGGACGCCGTCTCGTGGTAGAGCGGCTTCAGGGCAGAGGGGGCTTTGAGATCGCAGCGCATGCGGAGCGGCACAGAGATCTGCTGGGTGGGTGAGCTGCGCGTGGAGTCGATGGACTTGTCCAGCTCGTACTCGGACTTGACCACATCGATCTGCTCGTCGTCGGAGTCCGCATCCGAGGCGGATTGTTCGTGTATGGAGCTCGTCTCGATCGAGGTGTTCAGCTTGAGCAGCACATGGGGCATGGACGTGGGCGTCGGCGTTGGCGAGGAGCTCGATGGGCGCGACGAGGCGGGACTCATGTGCGCCGCTTCCGCGGCGCTCAGGCTGCCATGATGCAGTGCAGCGGCGGCCGCATTGCGCGCCCGCAAACCCGCCGCGGCCGCAAAGTTATACGGATGAAATGCGTGCGGCGTGGACTTTTGATTCTGATGCGCGGCGGCCGCAGCAGCGGCGGCCACATGGTTGAACGGGAACTGCGGCATGGCATAAGCAGATGGTGGAGGGCCACCCGGCGGCGAGGGCATCATGGAGGCGGGCGCCACGGCGCCCACACCCACAGACGGCGGCGGCGGATAGTCAGCGGCAGCGGCGGCGGGCACAGCGGCTCCAGCAGCCGCAGTTCCGGGCGAGACGACGCCGCTGGCGCTGCCATTGGGCGAGGTGGCTGCCTTGGACAGCGCCGGATGATGCACTGCAGCGGCGGCCGCCTGCTGATGGCGGAAATAGTCCGCATAGCCGTAGGTCATATAGGCGGCGTCCAGCCACGCCGGATTCAGCATGAACGGATTGAAGGCGCCGGGATGTGGATAGCCATAGCCTAAAAAGCAACAACAAGCAAAAGCAAAGCGCAAAAAATTAGTTAAATTAATAAAAAGTAAATAAATAAATGCAAAAATGCTTTAAAAACTTGGCTTAACTGGGAAATTGTTTTCCCCGGGCAGGATTGGATGGGATGGGTTAGGTGCGGGAGATTCAAACTGAAAAGCGTAATGGAAACTAAAAAACTCACTTTGCTTACTTCTTGGCTCCCGCGGCCCGTCGACCGTTACTTTGATGGCCTTGCTGTAGCTGGCTATCTGGACCGGATAGGTGGCAATGGTGATGGTCAGCGTGAAGGACTTGCCGCGACCGGAGCGGCCCACGAAGCGCAGATCATTGAACTTGGCCACCTGATTCTTCATCGTGGTGGTGCAGTTGCGCAGCTCGCCGCAGTAGTTCTCGTCGTTGCCGCACTTGATCGAGACGAGGGTGCCATCGGGCACATCGTCCAGGGCGATCACCTTGAAGGCGCCCGGCAGCGATTTGTTGGAGCGCCAGTGATTGGGCAGCGCGCTGCACAGGATCGACGGCGAGCCGGTTTGCGCCAATTCGCCGTGGTATTCCTGCAGCATCTCGTGCAGGCTGGCGAACATGTCTGTCATGGAGCTTGGCATTTTCGCCAAATTCGCCGCGTTCGAGTTAGAGTTGTTGTTGCTGCTGCTGCTATTGTTGTTGTTGTTGTTGTTGCTGCTGCTGTTGTTGTTGCTGTTGTTGTCCGGCGTGGAGCTGCCCGTGCTGCTGGCCGAGTGTGTGCTTATGTTGCCTTGGCTAACATTCGTGGCAGCCGCCGCCGCCGCCGCCGCTGCTGCCGCTGCGGCCAGGACCTGCGTGTGGGCGGCCGTATTGGCCACCAGTGTGGGTCCAGCGGGCAAATGCATTTTCCAAATGTGTGTGTGTGTTTATATTTTACGTGCTCAAAAAAAATTGTCGTCGTTGCTGCTGCTGCTGCTGTTCGTAATCCGAGTTGGGTGTTTTGTAATCCTTGTTGCACTTCACCAAAGCAAAAAAAAAAAAAAACAACGTTCGATTTGTGGTAAACGCTAGCTAGCTGGCGGTGCCGCTGCTTTTCACGCTTTTCTTTCTTTCGCACTCAAGATACACGCAAAAAAATTGTTGTTGCAAGTCTTTTCGTTTTGAATAAATGTTATTAAGATTATTTCTATTTTTGTTCAATTTCGCTGCGAGTTTACAGTTACAGTTACGCTGCTCGTTTCGCTTCACTTTTGAACACGCGGCGAAATTGTGCTCTGCTCTCGCTCGCTTCTTTTCTGGCTGCGTTCTCGACACGTTAAAGTCGCTGTGTGAACTGTTTCTCAACTGCGATCGTTGCCAGTATTTAAAGTAGAATGCGTTGCCGTCGCTGTCGCAGCCGACGTCGCTGCGGCGCCGCTGCAAGACGGCAGTGGCGCGCTCGCTCTCGGACTCGCTCGCACTGCTCAGGGGCGATATTGCGCGCTCGCTCGCACTGGCTGCAATAATTCAGGACGTCGCTGCGTGGTTTGGTTGGCTCGTTCGCTTACCTATTGTGCATGTGTCTGTGTGTCTGTCTCGGTGTGTGTGCGTGTATGGGCTAAGGGTGCAACGGCTGCCGGCGGCGGTGGCGGTGGTGACCGGGGCAGGTATCAACCACCATTGCCACAACAACAACCACAGTAAAAATTTCCCATTTTTCCATTGCGGTATACACTCGCGCACACAGAAAACACGGCCAGCAACAACAACAACAGCAACAAGAAATAAGGGAAGTCGACAACTGAGGCAGCGGCAGCGACAGCGTCAGCAGCAGCAGCAGCGACTGAGGAAGAGGCGTGCGTTGTTGCTGCTGCTGTTGTTGTTGTCGTCGTTGTTGTTGTTGCCATGCTACTTGTGGCCAGGGACGCGCGGTCAAACCGACAAACGAAAAAAAAGTAAAATTAAAAAGACCAAAGGCGAAGAGGGCAAAAAATCATTGGAAGCGAAATAAAAATGTGCCATGAGAGCGCATCGCGAGAGCGGGGCGGCTCTCTGAGCATATTGGAAAGGCGCAGGCGGGCGCAGAAAAAAATGACGAACAGTAAAAGAACTGAAAAAAAAACACTCAGTGGGGTTTTATGAAAACTCATGCGGAAAACGGCAACAAACCGAGAAAAAAAGAAGAGCTAAAAAACGCAAAGGAATAACTCATCTTGCTCTTATTCTTGCGCTCTTTCTCTGTCACGCTCGCCCTCTCTCTCTCTCTTTCTCTCTCTAACACGCTCTGTGTGTCGCCAGCTCAGTCACACATTCGCCTTGCGCTCTGCTCTGCTCTGTTCTGTCTTTGGCCCCGACGGGCGGTCGCTGGCTGGAAAATTTGTTTCTTTACGCACGCAACTTAACATCGGCATGCAACAGTTCCAACTGCGCGCGTGTAGGCACCCCATGGATGTCGGCCCAGTCCCCGTCCGCGTCCCAGGCCAGGACCTGGCCAAGATACGCACCGTGTGCTAGAGCCACAGGTAGCGAGTAACGGTATATATCTGAAAGTTGCCATCAGTGGCGTCCACTGGGGATGCACCAAGTGGTCGACCTAGCCCCGAATGGAGCTGATCACGACAGACCACTATCAAACATAATATGGAAGCTGTTGGATCCGTCGTTCCCACGCCTTAAATCTGAAGGATCATCGCCAGATTAGTGTGTGCTTGTGCGCCTGGCCTGCTGATCCCGCAAAACTTAACTGATTCGTCCGCTAATCCTTGACAGTTCGGAAGTGATTTATTTACGGCGCGAGCTTAGCCTTATCCTGATCTTTGTCAAGCGAAGCGTAGGAAGGAATATCTTAAGTAAACATAAAATGTGATCATTTTGTAAGGTAATAAATTGTTTTATTATGTAACTCAAAAAATAATTTGGAATTATAAAATCTGATTTATTATAATAATATTATACATTTATTACTGAATGAAATTAAGACAGAGTTATGGGAAACTTCACATAATATGGTAAAGATATGGAAAAGAAAATGTGCAAAAACACATTTTGATATCTTTAGGGATATTATTGTCGAATCGGGACAAAAAATCCAAATTAAGATATTAATCTAATGATATTTTATGTTTTTCAAATATTTTTTTTTTATATTAAATATTTATTTAAAATAAATAGATTTTAAAACAATTCTGGGAAAATACAATCTATATATATTTTTTTAAATTTATAGACAAGTCTGTTATCACCTTTTTTTTATTATATTACCAAGTATATACATATATATATATAGATATATAAACCTTACTGATCACGATGAAAGGATTAAATAAATATTCCATTTTATTGTTATGTATAAATAAAATACCAAAACTTTGTGATCAAGCTTAAATAAAAACATATCATTCAGTTCGAGTAAAAATTAAATGAAAGTAAATATATCCTAGCTAAAGGACCTGGCAGCCATTCACTTAGTTCTTAACTCTATAACTGTATAATAAATAAATAAAGCAATTGCTAATCAAGTGACAAATCCTTGTAATCAAGCTAAAAGGATTAAGCAAATATCATTAAGAAAGACTTTTTATATGAAATCAAATCAAAACCGTCGTAACCCCCCGAGAAAAGCGAATGCGGGCGCCTCTGGTGGCAGGACAACAAATCAAACTCGCGGCAGCCCAAAAAATTGCGGAGCACCAAGCAAGTTAAAACGAGGCCACAAATGCTGCACACAAACAGACGACAAGGGGGACGGACGGAGGGACGGACGGAGGGACGGAGAGACTGTGCTGGCTGGGAACAGGTGGGTGGAGGAGGAGGGAAGGGGGCGGGCAAGGAAAGCAGCTGAACGCAGCGAATGGATGGCAGGGCAACCACAATGAGGGGCAACTGGCGAGCCACTAGTTAGGGCAGAGGGGCCAGGGGCGGGGAGGCGGGAAGAACTTAAGTGCGAGCCATGACTGAGTCGTGATGTTGCTCGAGCCAACCAAAATGTCGCGAGAACGCGCCTCGCCGCGGGCGAGGACGAGGGTGAGGGTAAGGGTAAGGGTGAGAAGCGTCGGGAAAGTACACGCACACTTCCAATCAACTGAGACTTTAACGTCGCTGTCGACGCGCGGCTCGGCTCGGCGCGGCGCGGCGCAGCGCGAATGCTGCTGCGTATGCGTGTGCGCCCGCTTGCTGTGACAACAACGACAACAACAAAAACAACAAGAAGAAGACCAATCAAGCGCTGGAAGGGAACGAGGCATCTTGGCAAGGACGCGCAGTGGCAGCCAGCGTAGGTGCCACAGGTTAGCAAGTAGCGTGCGACAAGGACGCATCCGGCCAACCGGTCAGCCAAGGGGCAAGGCTTTGATTTTGATTGTTTTCGATGCCATTTGCGAGCCCTTCCATGAAATTAGCAAGGCTCCTGTCTGTGTCTGTCATTCTCCCAGCGTTCTCCTGTCGTTTTCCCTGGCAATTTGCGCGGCTCATTCAGCACCCGCTGATCTCCAAGATCGCACAGAAGCTGCACGTTGCACGCGCGCATCGCGCACGCGCGGCAGGACGCAAGCGGCTCGCTGAAGGATCAGTTGGCCGAATCGACAGCGAAAAAATGTAATCTCCGCTTTACCTGGCCTGCTGACGTTCTGGCCACACAGCTGCCGGCTGGGCCACCCTTTTTTTATGATCGTTTTTTCACAGCAATCCCCCTGGTAAAAATCAGTTTGCGCCCAGGTAACCACCCACTGCTGCGCGGTGTCGCATGCAAATGAAAACAGGTAGCAAACCGCATGCAGATCGCAGGTCGCAGATCGAGAGCGCCGCATTCCCTTGGCCTAATCCTTTACTTATGAAAGTCAATCGCCCGGATTATCCAGCACGCCCAACAAATATTTTGGGCGATTAGCCGCCCCACAAGAGACCATCAGATCCGCGAGTTGCCCGGCCCGAGCAGCAACGCCTTCCCAGGTCAGCTTCAGCCAGTACCGAGTAATCGAGTCCTGCAGTTAACGCCGATTACACTCGCCTACATAAACAATTTAGTTTGCGAATCAGCTGATCAATGAATGATAAATATATGTACACATATATAATACACACATAACATTTTAAGAGCTAGAGGATTTTGATTTAAAAAAAAGTGCGTCAATTTTAAGTTGTGATGTATAAATAATTTGATATATAGTTTTATTAAATAAGCTCATGGACGATTTTTTTGTAAATAAATGTTTAGATTTTACAACACTTTTCGAATAAATTCCGTTTTTTGTCTCTTTTCATAATTTTTTTATTGCGATCTATGTATCGAAGACCAATATCAGGGAATTATACGAATAGATAAATTTCCATTATCCTTCCAACAAAGCAAATCAATCCATTTATGAATAGATCTATTTCCATTGGCCTTCAAAAGGCTCTCGCCTTTAAATGAATTCCAATGCATTTGGTTGCAGCTAAATCAACACATTTCCAGCTAAATGATCTATTTATGAATAGATCAATTTCCATTATCCTTCCAGCAAAATAAAGCTTTCGCACTGAAAGCATTTCAATGCAGCTAAATCAGCACATTTCCAGCTTAATGATCTATTTACGAAAAGGTCAGTTTCCATTATCGTTCCAGCAAAATAAAGTTGTCGCATTTGAAGGCATTCCCATGCACTTGGCTGCAGCTAAGTCAGCACATTTCCAGCTAAATGAACACATTAAAGCTTCCACCCGCACACCACAGGGCTTTAAATCCCGTTGCCACTGAACAAAAATTAACCGTATTCATTTCTCGCAAATGATCGCCGGCAGCGCAGCAAGCAACCAGCCGAGTGGAGGCCCGTGGACGCAGTGCAGGCAACTGTAACGAAATTGAGCACCAGCTGATCTGACCCAACCCTCACGCGCACACGCACACACACACAGAGAGAGAGAGAGAGAATATCGAATAGAAATTGGG